CCCCCAGCCTCCACTGAGCCTCCCCAGCCTCCACTGAGCCTCCCCCAAACCTTCCCCCTCAGCTTTCCCCAGCAAGGAGGCTGCCTGCGTACTGTAGCTACTGGCCAGCCCTGGGCCATCTTCTCCATCTGTACATCCTCTGTGTCCTGCCCCCAAACTCACTGTCCTCTGGCCTCTCCTGGTTGAGTACTGGATTACAGGCTCAGCTCGGAGATTCCCCAAACTACCCACGTCTTGGCCCGAGATAGAGCGTCAGGGGGCTGGCACACAGCCAGCGCCTTCCCGCAGGACTGCTGGCCGGACAGGCAGGAGGAGAGAGGCGAGCCGTGACAGCGATGGCCGAGACTCGGGGCTGTGCTGGGAACGGGAGCTGGCCACAGGCTGGTGAGCGAGGAGGCGGCTGGGCGAGGCGCTGACTTCACACTGAGCCAAGCCCGACTCTCAGGACAGGGCCCACCCATCCACCAGGGCCCGGAATTGGCCAGGAAGGACAGGTGCTGGACCCGGGGCCCGGAAGGTCCTGCGCCTCACCGCGTGGCGTCGCAGCTCAGTCCCTGGGAGGAGTTTTTAATGGCTGTGCACATTTTCACGCGAGGAGGAGCTAATTATTTTAAATGCGTCTCGCTCCTTAAATAGAGCTCCGTGCACCCTGTGTCAGCTCTCGTTGCGAGCCGGCCCAGCGGGGGGCGGCAGTCACTGTGGGTGGGTCCCCAGAGCTGGTGGAGGAGGCCCCGGGGCAACCGCCGCCACCCAGAGCCCAGCCCAGGAGCCAGGGGCAGCCAGCTCGCCTCAGTATCACAGACTCCAACGTGCGTCCTGCGTGGGCCCCGGGGGCTGTGCTGGGGCCGGCCCCGGCCACCCCGGGAAGCAGAACAGCCGTGCGGACCCGAGTCCAGCGGGGAACGGCCGTGCGGACCCGAGTCCAGCGGGGAACAGCCGTGCGGACCCGAGTCCAGCGGGGAACGGCCGTGCGGACCCGAGTCCAGCGGGGAACGGCCGTGCGGACCCGAGTCCAGCGGGGACAGGCCCAAGGGAGTGAGGGACAGAGCGAGGGGGCGGGCAGGCACAGGGCGGGATGGGGGCGGTGGCAGTGGGCCTGGCGGGGTCACCCTGGAGGGGTGACCAGGAGGAGCTGGGGGTCCGGATGTCTGATTCTCCGCCTGGCGTGGGAAGGTAGAGCCACTAACTCAGGTGGGCTGTGGGGCCCCGGCTCCCGTGGTGAAAGCCACCGGGAAGTGCATGAGCTCAGCCCAGGAGTGTGGGAATGGAAGGAAGGAAGGTCCAGGCAAAAACCTAGGCCACCGTGGTCTGAGGTACTGGCAAAGCACGAGGAGAGGAGGAGGAAGAGCACCCGACAGGCCAGGAGACAGGAGGTCAGGCGCAGGGGGACAGGCCGCTGGTGCAGCCAGGCCAGGGCTCAGCCTGACCAGGCCAGGGGCCATGCCGGTGGGAGCGGTGGGAGCCGAGGTGTGGGGGAGGGTGGGGGAGGGCGGGGCAGGCTGAGGACATGGGCCATGGGGCGGGGGACACTGCAGCTTGGGACAGCAATTTTCTAGACGAAGTAAGAAGCCAAGCGAGGGATCATCTAAACCAGTCTGTGGGTTGGGATTCTCAAATGAAACTTCCTAAAAAGACAGACGCCAGGCCTTGCCTGGGCCCAGAGGCATGCTCTGGGAGCTGTTGTTTAAACAACAGGTCAGGGCCTGGGGCCTTACAGCAGCTTTGAGTTTGATTCCCAGCATCAAAAACAAACATACAAACCAGTAATCCAACGTCCCCGGCCAAGAGGAATGGAGAGACAGCTCTTGGGAACCTTTGCTCTGAGGAGTGGAGACTTGACCCTGAACATTCAGTCAGCAAACCACACCTGTAACTACTACAGGAGGAACATTAGAACTTACAGAAACTCTCTGAGTTCCAGATCAACACACTGGAGAGAGGCTCAACAAATGGAAGTACCTCAAACTAAAAAGTTTCTGCACAGCAAAGAACATAGTAAGCTATGTTACTAGAGAGCAGAGAAGATTTCTCCCAGCTCTACATCCAGCCAGGGCCTAAAATCCAGAACATACAAAATGCTCAATAAACTAACTTCCCCGGGCAAGGACTAAATAGAGACTTCTCAGAAAAAGTACGAACGGCCAGTCCACACAGGGGACATGCTCAGCACCCTGGCCTGCGTGGATGAGGACCAGGCAAAATGAAACATCTCTCTGCTACACTCATCTGCGGAAGCAATTTCTTTTGCTCAGAAACAAATGTTCTTTTCTTTTTCCCCCTAGGTCTGACGCTGGGACTGCGGGCACTTTGATCACCGCCTGGCACTCTACCAACCAAGCCACGCCTCCAGCCCCACAGATACTCTTTTCCATTCAGAAAGCTTTTCAGCCCCCACTGGGATCCCACTGGGTCCCCAAACAGTACCTTGGCGTCTGCAGAAGCAGCCGTGGGGCATCCAGACACACAGGCCGCAGACAGACACCTGGCAAGGGGACACTGCGGTCCTGGTTACTAGCAAAGCACCAGGGCGGCCAGGGCAGGGGATGAGGGGCCTGAGCTCAGCCTGCCCTGCTGTGAGATTCGTCCTCAAACAAATAAAGGTGAGGGAGGGAAGAAGGGGAAAAGGGAGGGGGAGGGGAGGGGAGGAAAAGGGAAAGAGAAAGGGAAAGGGGAAGGGAAGGGAAGGGGAAAGAGAAAGGGAAGGGAAGGGGAAAGGGAAAGGGAAGGGGAGCCGTCCAGCAGAGTATCTCCTGTGGTTTTCTGTGGCCCTGGCCTGGAGTGTGGCAGGAATCCATCTCCCGTCCTGGGGCGGGAGGCAGCTGGCTGGAGGCCCACCTCTGGAAGGCCCGTGTGAATGCAGGTCCAGGCTCCCGGCCTCGGGGTACTCTTCGGCTCAGGACAGGTCCTCACTTGGCCGGCGGCAGCTCTGTGGGCCAGAGCTCCACGCCCAGCCGGCCGCTTAGGGGCAGCATGCCCTTCCTTTAGTGGGTCAGGACAGCCCGTCCTTCCTGCCAGGGGCCAGGGAAGAGGAGCCTGCTCCTCCTGTCTTCCCCAGTGACCGCTGAGCGCTGTGGTCAGCCAGCACTGGCGGGGGCCGGCTCCTGCCTCCCCTGGGCCCTGAGGGCCAGGCCAGCCTGCTCCGAACAAGCGGATGACAGGCGCAGGTCCTGGGATGGGGGAGGCCTCGGCCTGGCAGACGGCTCTGGGGAGAAGCACACATTTCCTATTAGGGCGAGGAGGGCCTGGCGGGCCGGGCTGCCCCCCTTCACCATTCCTGACGGTTCCAGCCAGCCGCGCACCTCCGGGAGCCAGAGAACGGCTCCGGGCACAGCCCCTGCGCCTGGAAGCAAGGAGGATTCCCCTCTGCACGCGGCACCGTGCCTCTCCTGGATCTGCCTCGCGTCTGAAGCTAGCCCACGCAGGGGTCATGACACGCGCTTCCAATTAGCCCTAAGAAGCTGTGGATCAAACGAGAGTGCTAGCCTTGAGAGAAAAAAAGCTGAGCGGACAATGTCCAGGCCCTGAGTTCAAGACCCAGCACCGGCACAAAAAACCGCCTGAGAAATGGCATCGTGGGGCACCTCACTCTTCCTCAGACCCCAAGGTGGCTCTGTCTGCCCTGGAGGCCCAGTGGCAGCAGGGCCGGGCCCTTCGCTGGCCCGGAACTCCCTGGGCCCCGGGGCCCTGAGGGCAGCCAGGCCTGGCCCTCTCCCCAGGGACCTGGCTGGCTGCACCCCACCCACACCCACCTCTCCAGCCCATGCCCTGCGGCGGCCCTCCCCGCACAACTGTCTTTCTGGAACCTCAGCCTCCAGCCGGGGATGCCCCCGACTCTTTAGCCCACTGTCCTGTGTGTCCTGTGGCGCTCTGTGCCCGCCCCACGCCAGGCCCACCACAGAACACCGCACTGTGTGTGATCTCACCCACACGCAGATGCTGAAACATCCAACAGCAGAGCTGAGCCCCCGGAGCAGGGAGCCGGGACACCGGGAGACCCTGGCACCATCCACCATCCCGGATGAACGGGTCTGGCTGTGCCGTGCCGCGCTCATCCCCAGGCTCGCTGGGGGCATGGCTGCCCAGCTCCCGCCATATCACAATGCAAATGGGACCTGCTTCCCGGAGCCTCACTTCATGGGTAAATTTGCATAGCAGGAGTGCTCATTTACATACACAGATGTGCATAACAAAATGAATATTCCAGACAAGCTACTGTGTTGACACAACCTTGTACAGCCGCAATCTATACCTTCTTATTTCAAACACTGAAAGATGGAAAGCCCTCTGGCCGACGGAAATGCTAGTTT